GTTATTGGAAGATTTTGGACCTCTTTTTGGGTCTCACGCTATGAAGCAAGACCATTCCTATGTGTTTCAAAGGTACCGGTAGGGCAACCAAATAACTGTCGGTCTTTTGATAAAATGCGAGGAACCACTCGCCGTACTACTTTCACCTTTATTATACCTCATTTCGAGTGGTTGCCCCGCTGCAAAATTTTGCGCCTTTAACGCAAATGTAGCAACCAGCCATACTTCAGCCCTAGGGCTGCGAATAACCTTTTGCCTACCGCAGGACATGGGGAACGCAACCTTAAGGGATTATGTTTCTTGTTTTGTATGTATGTGTGTGTGTGTGTGTGTGTGTGTGTGTGTGTGTGTGTGCTGTCTCTTATACACATCTAGATGTGTATAAGAGACAGCCCTCAGTATGAATCAAATGACTTCCAATACTGGCACACTATTTCGACATCAGCCGCCCGAGTTAAGCCACCAGCACCTTTCCCGAGTATAGATCGGGCGCAGGAAAATATAGAGTGGAAGCGTTTCGACTTCCGGAGGATGAATGTGGGCGCTCCAGTAGTGGCGGCTCGCATGTGGCCGCGGCTTCCGCCGAAGGGGAGGTACTGGCGGTTCATTTCCGCTCCAGTAGTGGCCCGGTCACTACGATCAATATGTTCGACCTCCGATGTGCAAGGGCAAGTTGTAGTCGATGCAACGATCAAGAGGGGGAAAAATAAATACGCCGATCGCTGTCGAAAGCAAAATGACATCAGAGTCAGATTCACGCAGAGTTCAGATAGATCGTGCAAACGCGAAGTCGTGGGAAGTTATCATTTGTATCCAGGGTTCAGCTCGATATCACTCAACGATAGTTCATCCCGACCGTCCTGATGGAGTTACGCTAAATTGCTGCTGCTTTTGTACACAGAGAGAGAGAGAGAGAGAGAGAGAGAGAGAGAGAGAGAGAGAGAGAGAGAGAGAGAGAGAGAGAGGGGCTGGCCAAGTACGCGAAAGGACAGTTCAGTTCTTTTGTGGCCAATTTCTCAGACCGATCGTCCTGCAGATGGTCAAAGCGAGTCTGCAGCGAGCATACAGGCAAAGACAGGGACAGAAAGAGCCACTCACACACACACGCACACACGCGCACACACACACACACAAAAAAAAGGCACGCACGCACACCACACACAAAGATGGCGATCCCCATCATCATGATTCAATCCGTTCGGCTTAGAGTCCCCATCATCATGATTCAATCCGTTCGGCTTAGAGNAGACAGACAGACAGACAGACAAACAGACAGAGAGAGAGAGAGAGGTTGAATGACAAAAATAAAAAATGGGTCACATTGCCGCCACCATCTATTTTGAGGTTAAGATGATTTGTTTTAATTAATTTATTTTTTTTCTTAACATATCACAATAAAATTTATGAGTACTCAAATTTTTAGATTTTTTCTCGCATTCCTCTTAACATAAAAAATCACTGAAGTTGGAGTACTTTTTGTGTTGAATCACACATGGTTGAGGGACAAAAATAAAAAATGCACCGAATCGGCATTATGATTATTTTATGGTGATTTTTTTATTTTATTTTTAATAAAAAAATAACGATCCAGGGCCTTGCCACACCACTCCCGAATCCGGAATATTTTTAAGGAGTACTCTCAAGCTCTAGGGATCAAGAAAGGGGCATCAGGAGTACTCATGGCGACACAACACCCCCAAATGACCATTTCTCAAATTCGGTGTCTAGTGAGTCGCTTCGCACCAATATTATGACAATTAGAGGCCTTGTCTACCGTGCCATGCTCTTGGAATTTAGAGGGAATTCGACCGCCTCCCAGAGGTCTCTCGAATGTGCCTGCCTGCAAGAGAAGAATTTGGGAGTGCTCTCATAAACTTTATGGCAGCTCCAGAGTTTTCTTCGATAGGCGGAATTTGAGAGTTGGTGTGGCGAGGCCCCTAATCTACGGATTTTCAATTTTTCAGATCGTTCTTTAAATTCTTATGAACACAAAAAAATGCCAAAGTTACCTCTTGCAAATTGTGGGACTGTCCCTCCGAGTGCCACTAGGAGTGCGTACATGAGACCAGTCCCTTGAAATGCTTACCTACCGGTAGGGCCTCCCTAGGGCCTGTTGGTCGTCCGCAAGCACTAGAAGGACCGGTCGTACCGGGATTTTCGACCCCTTCATGCCCTATTTTGCAGTGGTCGTCCACCGCCAAAATTCGGGCTCCTTGACACATACGCCGGACCGCACCATACAACAACCCTTAGGGTTGTGAACACTGATGACGGATCGCACCATACTGCAACCGTTAGGGCTGCAAACTATAGTGCAACCTTAGGGATGCGAACTATATCGCAACCTTAGGGCTGCGAATACCGTATTCTTCAGAGCCCGGTGCCACCGGACCAAAGTGACTGGTGGCGCCAACCATAATGAAAGAAAAATTTGCATTGCCGCTTCGACAACTACACTGATGTCTTTTTCATCTTTTTGTGTTCCACATCTTCGTTCATCCTTTTTTTCTCCGTCATGCTTGCTCTTGCGTTTCTTGTCCTCTGCTTTTCCTTCTTTCTGCCGTCTTCTCTCTTTCTTCCCTTCCTTTGTCGGTCTTTTTCCTTGCTTTCATCCTCTATTTACCCAACTATGTCTATTGTTAAGAATCAGCGGCTGCTCAAAACCGGGTTTGGTGCGCTACGTTTTGCATTAACATTCTAACGATCTCGCCGCCCATCAGTTATCTGCATGATTTCCGACATCAATTTTGTTCATGCTCAACCTCTATTTCACGCCTGATTCCTTTCGTCACTTTTATTCAAGATATACAATACATTAATGCATCTCCAATTTTACAACCAGACAACTATTACCATACCAATCTCCACCTTTCTTTGAAAATACAACTTCCTCAATTATGCTTCGCCGTGAAGCTGCATCAGCTCTTTTGTCTCCTTACGAAAACAGGATTACCGTGGAATATGACAGGAGCGATGTACTATCATATCTGGTTTTCCAAACGATCGATAAATAGTTCCGATCTTTGTCAGGTCTGAGACCGATCAAAAAGATAGCTTGGGGGAAGGAAACTGCAAGTCAAGGACACAAGATCTCCGGTTTGTACCAGCGGTCCTGACATCATGTTTCCTGTTCTGGAATAAATTTCTTTCAAGCAATTTTTTGCTGCCAAGCACGCATTAAAATGTATTTTGACGAAACACACGACTGATGAAAACAAGTTATGGGTCTATCCCCTATAACGCATCTGAGACATTGCGTGCATTCTGCCCAAAAGACTGAAAACTGACCCCGGAAGAACGGTATTTTTGATACCGCCCGACTCCGGCTTCGTGCTAAATACAACTGCCCTCTGCCCATGCGGGCATCCCTCCCCCCCCTTGGCTGCGCTACCGCGCCCTATGCATCTATTAGTTCTTTTCCGCCCCGGCCAAAAGCGACAGGGTAGCTTTTTCACTTCACCAATGTCGTCCATAGGTTGGCTGCGCTACCGCGCCCTACGTGTCTATTAGTTCTTTTCCGCCCCGGCCAAAAGCGACAGGGTAGCTGAGTTGCTTCTTCACTTCACCAATATCCTCCATAGGTTGGCTGAACTCATTGACTACCCAGGAGACGCGGGGCACGGTTCCATCTGCAGGGATTGGTTTTTTTGGACCGTTGATCTGTCAAATCTACTGTCACAAAGGGCAGTGTATCATGCCCTTGAGGATGAATAGCCCGCACGTTTCAGGACATCAGACAAAAACAAAACAAAGAAAAGGGTTCCAGCGCATGTTGTCAGGGTGAGAACCCTATCTGCACCACGGCTAAAGTTCATGAGAATCCACCTAACCGTGAAGCCTTGGAAGCTAACAACACACCTGTCCCTTGAATGTCCACTTGCCAAAAGGGGCATTCCTCAAACTCAGTGGTCCCGCAACCGCTCGTCCTACATCACTGGTCGTATATGGCAGGGTAGAGCTTGCCTTCTGGCGTAGAATTATGGCACGTCTGCTTCGACGCTATGTCCGAGCTGGTAGCGGTGGTGGTGCTAAGCTCGCATTGCCCTCACCGTTCTCGGGATGTACGTGGTCGTGAGGAAAGTCCACACTTTGTTTTCGTTTTTTCCCTTCAAATTCGATCTTCTCCGGTCAGGCACCAAGCGGATGCCTGGCGTGTTTGCTCACTTCTGCCAGGTGGCGGAACGCTGGACAGACCCAGACCTGCTGATCGTCCAGATCGTTGGTGTGCAGGGGTGTCGAACTCTGTGGATCAAAAAATAAAAATAAAAAAATCTGGACAGGACGGCCTTTCAGGCCTTTTTCATTGTCCGTGCAAGGACCAGTCTACGAATTCAAATCCAGTAATCGTATGCCCGTGGCAGGGTGGGCTAGCCGCGGCCGTTTGGGACGAGGGTGGCGGGAAGGCCCACCTTTTTGTTTTCGTTTTTAGTGCAGGGGCCATGCTAATCTTCTGTATCCCAGAGGACGAAGGCCCACTTTTCGGTTTCCCGCTTGCGATTGTAATCGGTCCCGCGGGCCTTTTTCCGCATGTGGAATCACGCTCTTGGACGTGATTCTAGCCCCAGACATCTGTTGTGTGAATGTGAATATTCCGTCAGGCCTGCCCGAGGCGGGAGAACTACGAACGGCGACGAGCGTATGCTCTCCGTTTCGGATTCTGGGTCGGGAGCCCTTCCTGGCGCAGAACTGCGGTTGTGGGGTGACAAGCGTGGTCCACACGCGGTCGGCTTGCCCGAACCGACGATGGCGTACCGGTAGGCCCAGGTACGTGCGATGGGTGTTCTTCAAGGGCGCTTCATTCCAGACGCTGACGAGCCGGGTAGTGGAGGAGGAAGAGGGGCGGGAGTAGGAGTAGGAGTAGGAGTAGGAGGAGGAGGAGGGGGAGGAGGAGGAAGAGGTTGGGGAGAGGAGGGGGTGGGAATTGTTGCCAGTCGCTGTCCCGCCAAGTCGACAGTGAACAGGATGGGGACGATGAGGATGGTGAACGTGGGGGGCGGCGCGGTATGTGCGCGCGCGCCCTCCAGCATCCTGGTCTGACGGGCTCCCGTTCTCAATTTCGTCAATTGGTTCTTCTGGTCCTTGGTCCGCGGTCGTCTCGGTCGCGCCGTCGCTCCCCTGGCTCTCTCTCCCCCCCCTCTCTCTCTGTCTCTATCTCTCTCTTGTGTACCCTGTGTTGATTGGATTCGTGCGCGGGAGGGAAAGAGACTGATGTAGACATCGTATTTGCCTCCGTTCTCCTTACTGCGTTCCCGAGATATGGAGTTGTCTACGGGGTAGGCGCAGTGGAGGAGGTATCCTCTTCCGATTAGAGCATTTTGGTCACCGTCGATTTCTCTCGTTGACATCGCCTTGTTGGCTATGCTCGGTCAAAATACTTGAACTGTACAAAATAGACCGCTTGCCTTCTTAATAGGGTTCATCTCTTTGCTGGACACCACGTCCCTAACACAACTCGTGGTGGTCATACTCATCTTCCATTCGGTGGCACGAGAACTTTGCTGGGAGGGAAATCGACGGATCTTTTTGACTGCGGCGGGCACTGCGCTCGCAAGGTGAAGTGAGGCTGTACGTAGACATACGCAGACATAAACATTTATACACACACACACACAGACACACACACACACACACACACACACACACACACACAGAGAGAGAGAGAGAGAGAGAGAGAGAGAGAGAGAGAGAGAGANAGAGAGAGAGAGAGAGAGAGAGAGAGAGAGAGAGAGAGAGAGAGAGAGAGAGAGAGAGAGAGAGAGAGACACGAGAGAGGAGTGTGCGCCCTGTGAAAATTGCTAGTGCCAGAAGATATCGCTCCCGGAATGGACATGGAGGGGTGGTGAAGTGGTCGGTCGACGCAAAATTTAGGCACCGGTGAAGCTGCACGTGTCTGTTTGTTTTCCATCGATAATCTGCTTCTTCTCGTTGAAACAGGGTGAACGGGGGATATTGGGAAGATGATTGCATTTCTCTCGGCGGAAAGCCCAGCGCCAAGGAGGGTTGGTATAGTGAGCGGCAGCAGTTGCGGCATCGAATCAGTGACTTGGGCGCCGTGTGCGACGCAGCGTATTGAGATCGTGAGCGGCAGGCGCAGTAGACTGGCGCAGGCGGCCGCGGGGACGTGTTGGAAGATCGGTATCTTTCTTGGCCGCCTTGGCACCGAGAAGGTGCTTGAGACTTGTGCGAGGGAACAGATCGGTATTCTGCGCGGTGACGGCGGGTACAGCGGACGACGGTAGCGGCGACCGCAGCTCTGTGTGGGCGACCGGTGTGTGTGGCATATCATGTGATGTGATTTGAAGAGTCTGGGCGACCGGTCGTCGAAATGAATCGACAATACGCGCCTGCGACCGGGCTCGTGGCGTCCAGTCCTGTGTTTTCCATGGCCGCGATCGTGCGGCAGAAGGTTAGGAAAGGCAGGAAGAGGCCTGACGTTGTTCGGGCATCGATTGATGATCAAGCGGTGACCAATGTAGACACAAGCAGGTCATCCTCTTCCTCGCCTCTCCTTCCCATTCCCTTTCCCTTTTATTCCCGTCCCCCCCTTTTCCTCCCCTCTCTTCCTCTACCTCCTCCCTCCCTCCCTCCCTCCCTCCGTCCCTCCCTCCCTCCCCCCCTCCCCCCTTCTCATCCCTCCCCTTCCCCCGCGTTCCTTTTCCTTCTCTTTCCTCAACTCTCCTTTCCTTCACTTTTCAGTTCTTTTCTTTTCTTTCCTCTCTTCCCCCTTCTTGTCCCGTCTGTCCTGTCCTCCTCTCCTCTCTTCTCTTTCCTTTCCTTTCCTTTCCTTTCCTTTCCTTTCCTTTCCTTTCCTTTCCTTTCCGTCCGTCCTCCTTCCCGTCTCCAGTTCTCAGTCCCTGTCCTGCCATCTGTCAGGCCTGTGGAGCCGAAAAAATAGCCTTTCCTATTCCAGCCCTGCTCCGCTCCCTTTAATCAGGGGACTGTCAACTCTGTCATCTTACATCAAGAGTTCTCATCGCGCTGGAACTAGATGACATGGCAGATCGCATCAAGAGTTCATGTCGTGCAGAGAACTCATGGTCACTAAGTACAGAGTGCAAATCGTGTTGAATCACGACGTGAGTGCCGTACCCGCTGAATTGTAAAGGTCGCCAAGCGCGATAAAGGCATCGTTTTTCTGTTCAATCTGAAGTCTTGAGCTCATTCCCTTACATTGTGCACTGACGGACCGTTGCCTCGAAGCCCTGCCTTATGGCCTCCCTGTCTTCATCTATCCCCGCGATGCTTGACCACCTCTCCGTTTTGCCTCTCTCTCTCTCTCTCCCTCTTCTCCCCTTCCCCTCCCCGCCTCCCCCGGGGCCCTCCTTCCTCTCCCTTCTTTCCGTTCGTCTTTTCTCTCCTCCCCTCTCTCTCCCTATCTCCCCTTTCTCTCCCTCTATATGTGTCAAAGGGTCTATTCCCCTCTGTTCTTCTGTTCTTTCGCCGTAACAGAGTGGGCATACGCTGATTACTGTAATTTGTTTGTCCTTGATGATGACTGTTTTTTCTCATTAGATTTCGGTCCGCTTTTTTTTTTCGTTTATCGATCGTCCAGAGTGGGATATTCTTCACCCTTTGCGCCCACGGAGATTGGGCCCAATCTCCGGTGGTCTTACAAGTGTTTGAGAGTAGCTTGGCATGTGCTGTGCGTTTGTTGTACACATGAACACTTCGGCGGGAGTAGTGAAATAGTTCGCGCATGTAAAGGGCATCCTTGAAAAAGCCTCCTCTTTGATAGGAGTGTAGTAAGGCGGCGGCGCCTCCCTCTCCATCATGAAGGGAGTACCACTGCCTCTGATGACGAACAGATGTGAAATCTGGCTAAGGGGTGGTTATTGCAATAGAGGGGGGGTGATATTGGAGACAGATGTTGAACAGCTATTCGTCCCATCAATCAATACTTGTCACGATTTAGCCGTACGATCGGGCACTTTTTCTTTTTCTTGGCCCGTACATTAACCAATTGCCCGTGCGAACCCTTGATTGACGGTCCTCCCGCTAGCCCATTACTTACCTCTCCCCCATACGTGGCTTGATCTCAGAGCCATGTCTTCCTTCTGAAAGCGCTACGCCGTGCGCGGTCATTTACGCGTACATGATTCTTTCTCTGCTCTGCTCGTACTAAACACATTACCTACCTACCCACCTACCTACCCTGAAGTCTTCTTGGGTGCCAGCCATCATATTGTCTATCTAGAGGAGTCGTAAAAATGTTCTCCTCTCCAGGAGATATCATAGCTTATGCAGCTTACTACTATGCGGCTTATTACTATGTAATCATCTCCCCAGGAGATATCGTAGCTAGTTGCCGGTCTTCCTTTTTAATCCTTCTCTCTACGAGAGGCATGGAAAAACGTATGGAATACGTATGTTAATCCGGTATGCACATCTTCTGTCCCTTGCCCGTCGTGGCTTTTCTGCGTGCAGAACTCTTCTTGAGACACCTTATGTCCCTTGCACGGCGTGCCTTAACTACGTGTAAAACGTGTCTTGACTGGACGGACAATAATCGTTGTTGTCATCGCGTTTTAACTGGAGGGACAGTAATCGTTGCTGTCATCGTGTTCTGACGTGCAAAACGCGTTTTGGCCGGCCGAAGAACAAACGTAGTCCCATTGAAATTGAAGAACTTTTTTTTTTATCGATGCGGGGCTTTTGATCATGGGCATGATTTGATAATGAGAATGACGACGACGATGACGATTTGATCATGGGCATGATTTGATCGTGAGAAGAACGATGATAATGATGACGACGACGATGACGATGATCATGACGTTTAGGGGGTGGTATAACGCCGAATGAGAGAGAGAGAGAGAGAGAGAGAGAGAGAGAGAGAGAGAGAGAGAGAGAGAGAGAGAGAGAGAGAGAGAGAGAGAGAGAGAGAGGCTTTTTGGTCGGGATGGATGATGTGGAAGGTTTTATGGAAAGATCGGATGGAAGTGGGTTGGGTAATCCGCGAATCTGGTTTGACTAGGCACGTGGCGGAAGTGCTTGCAGAAATGGATGACGTGTTTCCAGCGCCCTCTCGATCGTGTCGCCACCTGTCCGTCCGACGTACCGTATTATCATGCCACGTCATTTGCAGAAGTTCTGATTGTTGACGTATAAGGCACATCTGGCTGTCCTGACCGGTTCACCTACTGCCTATCTAGATGTTTCTTCCATCAGTGAGTCCGGAATGAATTACTTAATACGCGCGCTTGTGTGTGGGTGAGATTTGTGTGTGCGTGAGGAAGAGAGTACTAGACAAAAGGGGGACGCTCGCGAGTGCGCACGAATGGGTGTGTGTGTGTGTGTGTGTGTGGAGAGAGAGAGAGAGAGAGAGAGAGAGAGAGA